ATGTTTGTTATCCTTTAGTCCCCAAAATCTGCCTCACTATATACAGTATTTCGAAATACAGGTAATCCTTGACTTATCATCGCAATTGTGCCCAAAATTTCTGTTGCTAAGTCAGACCCATTTTACAACCTTTCTTTTCACAGTTGTTAATTGAATCACTGCAGTTGTTAAGTTAGTGACACGGTTGTTAAGTGAATCTGACTTGTCCTTTGATTTTGCTTGTTAGAAGATCACAAAAAGTGATCACATGAACCCAGGACACTGCAACTGTCATAAATATGAGTCAGTTGCCAAGTGTCTGGATTTTAATCATGTGGCCATGGGAATGCTGCAATGGTCATAAATGTGCAAAATTGCCAAAACTCACTTTTTTCAGTGCTGTTGTAACTTCAAACGGTCACTGAAACGAACTGTTGTAAGTCGAGGACTATCTGTGGCAGAATTGTTTTTTTTTAAAAATCAGGAATTTCTTCTGCAAACTTATCTCAAGTTCTGCAGAACTACAGAAAAGTCTTAAATAAGGGAGGGTTTGAGAGGTATTGATATCAGTTTTCTATATTATAACATGGCTTATAGCTTTTTGATAACACATTTCTTCATTTTTCAGTAAAATAAATGCGTCTGGGGTTTTGGACGTTTTTATATCTCTGAAGAAGTCCTTCTCCACCAATTGCCGCCTATCGTGGATCGATCCAGAGCTGAAACTCTGCATGCTTCTTCGGCTCCATCTTGTTTCGCCATCTCCGATGTGCCGCCATTTTGTGGTGGATTATCGGCCAGTCGTGCTGCAAGTCGCTTGCCTAGCTTCTTCTTGACCAGAAAACTGGAAGGCAGATTGTGCCTCACCCCGCCTTCTCCTTGGATTTATAAATTACTTCTCCCAGTTCTTCCTTTTCCTACCTCAAAAGCTGATTTGAAAAAGTTTAAACATTTTCCAAAAACGGTTATCCAAAATGACAAGTCTGTTCCGACGGAGCAGCAGCAATGGCGGCTCAAGGAACAGCTCTTCCGCTCAAGAACTTAACAATAGCCGCCCCGCAAGGCAAGTACGGAGGCTGGAGTTTAACCAGGCGATGGAGGATTTCAAGACCATGTTCCCCAACATGGATTATGACATCATTGAATGTGTCTTGAGAGCCAATAATGGTGCAGTCGATGCCACCATCGATCAACTGCTACAGATGAATTTGGACTGCAGCGAATGTGACGAGAGCTCGGATTCCGACGACAGTATTCCTCCTGAGGTAAATTTTTCCCATGCTTGAAATACAGGGAGTTCTCAGCATACAACCATTCGTTTAGTGACCATTCAAAGTGACACTGGCATTGAAAAAAAAGTGACTTATGACCATTTTTCACACTTACAACAATTGCAGCATCCTCCATGGTCACGTGATGAAAATTTGCATGCTTGGCAACTGGCATGTATTTATGACAGTTGCAGTGTCCTGGGGTCGAGTGATCTCCTTTTGCGACCTTCTCACAAAGTCAATAGGGGAGCCAGTTTCACTTAACTACCTTGTTACTAACTTAACAACTGCAGTGATTCACTCAACAACTGTGGCAAGAAAGGTAAAATGGGGCAAGACTCACTTAACTGTCTCGCTTAGCAACAGAAATTTTGTGCTCATTTATAGTCATAAGGCGGGGATTACCTGTAGTTGCAAGTTTGGCTGTAAGTTTGAGGAAAGATTTTCAGGGTGATTTTCTTTTGTGCTAATTATATTTGCCCGTAGGGTGGTGCTTCTCCAACTAGACCCAAGTGCCTTCCATTTTAACTGCTTCAGATAACCAAGATAGGGAGATTAAAATAATGGTCAGGACAGTACCTAACTCTTCCCAAAATTATTTTACCACCAAACCCCAAGAATGTCCTCCAGTCTCCCTTTGGTAATGATGGATCCCAAATTTGTAGCAAGTATAAGGTTGCCACAATGTGAGGAAGTGATTAAATTGTCCTTGGGTTAAAAGTGATTAAATTGTCCCTTTATGCTGTCCTTAAGTTATTATACTACTGTCTATTATTATTCTTTCTAATCTTTGTTTTCTTTTGATTTAATTCTTATGTTCACTGTTAGAGTCACAATTATTGTTGGTCTAGTGGTTAAGGCACCAGGCTTTGTTCCAGACAATAAGTGTTTTAGTAACTGAGTCACCATTTTTTTTTAAATTTTTTATTAATTTTTTCAAATGAACATATGAACAAATAATACAAATATGGTGCATTTCATTAGAAAAACAAACACATAAAAAGCCTACTCATTAGGTATTCAGAAATAATCGGTGGTCCCCCCCTTGCATCCACACTCCCTCAACCTTCCTACCTACTTCCCTCTTCCTTCCTCCCCCTCTTGACCACGACTTCTCCTCTTTCCTCCTTTCAACTGAGTCACCATTTAAACAATGGCAAAAGGCAATATCTGAACTTGGGTGGCAGGTGAAAAACCACGAGTTAAATGTCAGGTTTTACAGGAAAGAGGAGGATTGGGTTTACCTGATTTGCATCTATATTTTACAGCTTGCTGTTTGTTTTTCAAGAGAAGGCTTTTGAAGTTAATGGAGATGACCTGGGATCTGAGTGGCAACACAGGTGTTTGTGTGGATGGAATATGGGTCTTGGTACACTCTGAGCTTGGTTGTTTTCCTGCAGACATTTCATTACTAAACCAGGTAACATCACCAGTCCTCAGAGAACACCAAGGACCCCACAGTTCAACTCTGAGCTACAAATATTATCAATGAAGGAGAAATACAAATATTATCTTCTATAGAATATGGAATAGATACAAATCCAGGTTGTGCCCCAAAACACCTTTGGGGCTCTCAGCACATGAAGAAGTGCAGTCCAGTTTGTCTGCTGCTTTTCATTTCTCTGTTCTAGTTGGCTACTCTGCATTGTGGCAGGGATGTCAGCTATCCTCTTGTCACCCGACATTCATTTTCCATGTGAAACAGTGGGCTTTTTTTTTCCTTTTAAACAAAATCCCAAAAATAATGAAACAGTGAAATATATCTTTTTTTCAGTTTCATTTTCAAAAATTGAAAGAAGAGGGGAAAGGTTAAAGGATGGACTCCCCCTTTTTTTAAGCCACTGAAATTGACAAAAGAGAAATTAACAAAAATCTTGCCACTTTCTCCTTCTAGTTCAAATGACAGGAAGAATGGAAAAAATCCTTCTTCCTCCTCCCTCCATCCCTCCCTATCTTCCTTCCTTCCTTCCTTCCAACAGTGACTTCGCCGATTAAGGCTGTGATCAAGGTAGTCTAGACAGAACCTCAGGCCATCAATGTGGCCAAAGCAGAGGGAGGGATTGAAATCCAGAACCAAATTTCTTAAGCCAGCTTCATTTCCAGACAATTTATGTCCAGAGGTCCCGAAGCTTAAAGCTGTAGGATCTGAAAAGGCCCTACTCAACAGACTTCTGGTAGAAGACACGATGACATCATGAAATGGTCAGTTCATCTCCTTGTTCCCTTGTGGACTATGGTGTAGGCCAGGGGTAGGCAACCTCGGCTCTTTTATGACTCACGGACTTCAACTGACTCGGGAATTCTGGGAGTTGAAGTCCATGAGTCATAAAAGAGCCGAGGTTGACTACCCCTCGTTTAGGCTTTTAAGATTGCTTCCTTGCTTATGGAACTTGGTTTTTAGGCATTCCTGGATCATGAACAAGGATAATTCCTTCCTCCCTTCTGCTCTGCAAGATGGCAAAGACAAGCCAAAAAAAGAAAGAAAAGGCAGAGAAAAGGGGTGGGTGGGACACAGAAGCAACTGTGGCACGATGGAGGGCATTCGCACATGCAGCTTGGCATCACTCCTGGGTTGGCGCTACCCCCATATTCTCACAGTACCATCTTCTTTGGACAGCTGAACCAATTTATTTTGGCTCTAGCAGCAACCGCAAGAGGAATAAAAAAACCCACTGTGTTTTTTATTTCTTCCCTAATCCCACCACCTTGGCTGTCCTTCTTCCTTGCTGAAAGATTGCATGGCATGTCTTCCTTGGTAGCTAATGGTTTTATCTTAATCTGCCACAAAACCCTTGCAACCCAAGTTGAGAACAACAACAACAGCTTTCTGATCACTACTACTACCACATTCATGTCAGGAGCACCGAAGCGCTTCCAGGTTGAAAGGATTGAACGGTGACATCACGGTTGCCCAGGGACGCCCAGGTGGGTCTCCTTTCATGTCCCCGTTAAGTCGCTCACCAAAGTGGTACCCATCTATCTACTCGCGATCAACCACTTTCGAACTGCTGGGTTGGCAGGAGCTGGAGTGTGTGACGGGAGCTCACCCTGCCCCTTGACAGCAACCGGGTCTCAAACGCGAACCTGCTGATCATCAGCCCAGTGTCCTAACCACCTGAGCCACCACATTCCATTCTGATCACTGATTACTGATTTTTGCATTTGTCAACCCTCCTGGATAATCAGACATAAAATACAACCAGATGAGCTAACTCTACTTTATTGTAGGAATACATTAACAGATTCTTGCAAGTCTGAGGGTACGAACTTCCCGCTACCGGTTTTAATGGTCTGATCAATTAAAAGGAGGGTCCTTCTAAGTTCCTTTCTCTGACCGTTGAGCAACTGAGGGCTCCCCCTTCTCTTCTCTGATTCTTCCCTAGTTAGGATCTTTTTCCTTGTTCCCCAGGGTCGGGGTAGGCAGCCTTGGCTCTTTTATGACTCGTGGACTTCAACTCCCAGAATTCCTGAGCCAGCCATTCTGAGGAGAAATGGAGAGGTTTCCATGCTGAGCCATGCTGGCTCAGGAATTCTGGGAGTTGAAGTCCACGGGTCATAAAAGAGCCAAGGTTCCCTGCCCAAGGCCATCCCCATATACTGTTACACAGTGGTGAGATTCAAATATGTGAACAACTGGTTCTCTGTTTGGATGGCGCTTCTGGAAGTCTGTTCTGGGCCTGGGCAGCAAAAAATTAGCTACCGGAATTGGTGCGAACTGGTTGAATCCCACCACTGGTGTTACAGCATTCCCCCTTTAGCCAGCTGAAGGGAGGGGGATTAGGATCAGAATGGAAACAGGAAGAAGTTACAGATATCTTGGGAAGGTTTGTGTAGATTGCTGGTGGCTGTGTGGAAGTGCAATAAGCTATTGGCTTCTCTAATGCAATATTTCTCAGCCTCAGCAACAGAATTCTGGGAGTTGTAGTCTACCCATCTTAAAGTTGCCGAGGCTGAGAAAGACTGCCCTAGTGAGAAAACAGCTCTGACTAAAGCAGAGTGTGCCCAATGCTTGGGAAAAGAGACAGCTGCAAGTAAGTTTGGGGTTGTGCAGCACACTGTCAACTACTTACGGGTGTGAAAATCTCCCAGCAAGATGATAGCAGATGTCTTGCCTGCCAAAACACAGGCTGGAGCCCAGCACTTCTTTATAGCTCCTGGGTGTGGGGGCTGATTGGGAGCTAGCAAGGTAGCTCAAGGACAAAATGTTGGCCCTTTGCCTAAATTTTTCAGGCCTGTGTATGTGGTAAACCTCAAGGTGAACAGTGCTTTCCTTGTCAAGCATTAGGGCTTCATAATTTTGGTATTTTCAGTACTGTAAAAGCAGGCATAAGAAGGGAGATTTAAATATCTGTCAGATCGGGATACAGGTTGTCTTCAGTTTAGTGTTACTCTAATCTGATTAGATTTTGCGTTGCAAGAATTAAGTTCCCTTTGCAGAAGTTCTTTGCAGGAAATGTTAACAATTTTTTTTTTTAAATGGGACAGAAGAACAATTGTTTCATGTCTGCCTGCAGATTCATCTGATGAACCGCACTGAAATGTCAATAAAATCATATCAAATTTAATTTTCATGCTAGCTTGTTTTGGAATGTGGCCCCAGCATGTCTCATAAAAAGTCAAACGTGACCCACAACCTGCACCCTGTTTATTGCACAAGCTTGCTAGCTTTTGAAGGAGGATCAGCACTCTGTCATGGAATTGTGGATTACAAGGGCATAATTACAAGCTCCACTTTCTGTTTTGCAAAATCCCAGTCTCACTGGAATTTCTAAATCTTTCTCAGAGCTGATACAGGTAGTTCTTGACTTACAGCCATTTGTTTAGTGACCGTTTGAAGTTACAATGGCACTGAAAAAAAGTGACTTATGACTGTTTTTCACACTTAACGACCATTGCAGCATTCCCATAATCATGTGATCAAAATTCAGGTGCTTGGCAACTGGTTCATATTTATGATGGTTGCAGTGTCCTAGGGTCATGTGATCTCCTTTTGCAACCTTCTGACAAGCAAAGTCAATGGGGAAGCCAGATTCACCTAACAACCATGTTACTCACTTAAAAATGGCAGTGATTCACTTAACAACTGTGGCAAGAAAGAATGTAAAATGGGACAAAACTCACTTAACAACTGTGTCACTTAACAACATAAATTTGGGGCCCAATTGTGGTTGTCAGTTAAGGACTACGCATAGTTCTCTTTTGCAATACCCATCCTCCTAATTCTCTAACTCTTGGCAACATGAAGATGTCTGGACTTCAGTACCCAGAATTCCCCAGCCAGCCTTGCTCTTCAAGTTGCCAAGGTTGAATATCAGTGCTCTGGGTCTCCCATATACTTCTCCCTCTGTGCTAATCGTCTCCAGCAGACATCCCAATAAGTTGAAGATACAGGTACTCCTCAACTTACAATTATAATTGAGCCTGCAATTCTGGTCATAAATTGTGCCAGTTGTAACGTGAATCGCCATGTGACTGCACCCAATTTTACGGCCTTTCACACAGCAGTTGTTAAGCAAACCCATTTTCACTATTGGGCAGATTTTGCCGGAAATCAGGAATAAATACCAGTTTGTGGCAAAAATGTCCTAAATCGCAGTCACGTGACTACAAAGATGCTGCAGATGGCCATAAATACAAGCCGGTTGCCAAGCATGCAAAATGCAATCCTGTGACTATGCACGGGGTGGGGTGGGGTGTTGGCACTTCGAAACTTATCATAAGTAGCTCTGGGAAGGTCTGATGTAACTTCAAATGGTAAGCAATTGGTCATAAGTTGAGGACTACCTGTATTCGTAACAAGCAAAAGGACTCTAATGAACGCATATCTTTTTCTCATTTGGTTTAGATTCTGGAACGGACTTTGGAACCAGACAGTTCAGATGAGGAGCCCCCTCCAGTTTATTCTCCTCCTTCCTATGATATGCATGTATATGACCGAAAATACGTGCAGACTCCTCCAGTACCACCACCCAGGTATGTAGACATTAAGATTCAGAATCACAGAGCTGGCGGTCCAGCAAGCTCACCTCAAGATAAGAAATCCAGCGGTAAAACATTGCCAGCAGATGTTTTCCCAGCCTTTGTGGATAGGACTTTAGTGAGGGAGATACCACAACTGCTTGAATTGGAAGTGTGGTCATCTGTGGTTCTCCAGATGTTTGATGAACAACAGCTTCAGCCAGCATGGACAAAGCAGAGGAAAGCTGGGAGTCATAGTTCAGTTCCATCTGGTAGACCAGAGATTCTCCTGCTTTTGTCTCAGACCCAGTGTTTATTACGGTTGGAATTTGCAGATGTGTGTGGACTTCAGATCCCAGAATTCCATAGTCAACATGGCCATTGATGAGAATTTGGGATTTGAAGTCTACACACCTGGAAGTTGCCAAGGGAAGTGGAATTATATTATTGTAATTTGCTTTTCCCCCCCCCTCCAAGCAGAACTGATATCCAAAATTCCATCGGTTCACAAGCACAAAGACGATACAGGGACTGGAACCCACCATTATTAGGGAATCTTCCGGATGACTTTCTCCGTATCCTACCACAGCAAATGGACATGGTGCAGGTAGGAAGTAGAAAACTTTCCTAGTTAGAGTGGGTAACACGATGCCTAGGGGTGCAGTTGGGCTGTAACATCCAATTGTAATCTGCCACAGGTCTGCAGCAGGTGTGATCACTTTTCTTTTTTCTTTTTACACACAATCTCTCTCTAGAGTACCCAAAACTGTCAGCAAAGCACACAGAATCCTGGGAACCAAAGGGCTCAAGGCTCATTGGATCAGGAGAAGAAATGGAAGCAGTACTTGGAAGACGAACGGATTGCCCTGTTCCTCCAGAATGAAGAATTCATGAAGGAGCTTCAGAGAAACCGAGATTTTCTCCTGGCTCTTGAAAGAGGTAATCGGCTTTTCAGGAATCGAAGTATAAAAAATAATCACCCTTTCCTCTCCAACCAGCGTGTGACCGTCTTGGTTTTGTAAATGTGACCCTGACAAAGATGTTAGGGCATGTTGGTAGGCTGGCAAATTCCCAAGGTTATTTTTCCCCCCCACTGAGTTTTGTGTACAGATAGTTTTCGAGTTACGACCGTAATGGAACCTGCCTTTAGGGTCATAAGCTGTGATGGTTGTAAAGTGTCACACAACCGACCTGATTTTAGAAACTTTTTTGTGGTAGTCATTACATAAGCACTGCAGTTGTTAAGTAAACCAATGGTTTGATATGGGGCCAAAAGTGGGAATTAACTTTTCAACAAAACCATCATAAAATGCTGTCGCATGAACGTGGGATGCTACAAACAGCTGTAAATGTGGCCTGGCTACTGAATACCCACATGACTATGTGTGTGTGTGGGGGGGGTATCTGACCATTGGAACTTGAAATCTGGGTCATAAGTAGCCCCCAGGTGGGTCCTTTATAACTTTGAATGGTCACTAAGTGATAGGTCAAGGAGTAACTATTTTATGGATATTGTAGTTCTGCTGTTTTCCTGCTGTGTTGTAGTTAAACTCTTGATCACGTTGCTGTACTGTTAACTGCATGGTGTCCTTTATCTAGAAATTTAGCTCGGCAATTTCCTGTAAAACATTTGTTTTTCTGTACTGTCCTTTAGATCGGTTAAAGTATGAATCAAAGAAATCCAAACTGAACAGCACTGCCCTGAGTTCAGATCCCACTTTGTCCTCAGTATTATCAGGTAAGAGTGTTAGGCTGTATGCATCTCTGTTGACAAGGTTACTGTGGCTAGATGTTGGTTGGAATGCCCCTATGACATCTGGGCATGGGCGGGACTTCAATTGCAACACTCTGTCTGCCATCTTGTAGATTTTGATATTGTCAAAATATTGTCCCCTAGGAATGCTATTGGGCAGACGTTTGAACTATTCTTTTCCACTGCTGGAAAGCCTAAAAGGGTCCATTTGCATTTCACAGAAGTCACGTTAAATCTAAAAATGGTTCCAGCATTAAGTCTGGCTCGGCTCTTTTAGTGGTAATCTTCTCTGGAAGTCACTCAAGTCATTTGTATATAGATTCACTTTAAAAAATAGATTAAAAGCAAAACTATCAAAATTCTATTCAACTAATAAACAGAAGAACACCAGCATGCAGGTAATCTAACCGCAGAATTAATAATTTTGAATTATGATCGTAACAAGAAAAAAAACAAGGAAAGTGTGTGGGGGGAGGATTGTTCTAACCAATATTTTTCCAAGTTGACAGCTTTAAGATGGGGGACTTCAACTCCCAGAATTCCTCATCTAGAATTATCCACCCAGAATTCTGGTAGTTGAAGTGCATGCATCTTAAAGTTGCCAAGGCTAAAAAACACTAAATAAACAGAACAACTCCAATTGAATTATATTGTACAAAAATCTTCTTCCTTGCCTGAAAACAAAAACCACAAGTTTATTTTGAGGTATTCTCTACTGAACATTAAAGAAAATACATAAACAAGCCTAGAAATAGGCAAGGATGGATAAAAAATAAAATTCAATGAATGAACAAGGGATTCAGAAATGTCATGGAGATTATAATTTTCTTGTACAATACAGCTAGTTGTAATTAAATACAGTTCAAATATTGACAGATATATTTATCAGTCATCCATTGCTGTAAATCAGATACAGATTTTTCCTTCCAGGGCTGAATCATAATGTTGAGTAAACTGCCAACGAATTCTGTAAAGTAAATTAAACTTTTCTTAAAAAGTCTGCTTTCTCAGAATTGAGTTGATCCACAGCAATAATATATTGAGAGGCCCAGTTTACTGTAAACCAGAGGTACTTGCTCTGTGTACACTGTGTTGTCCTACAATGCAAACTTCTAATGAGTAGTTCATCAAAATTATATTTTATCACCCAATGTTTTTCATACAGCTGTTGCATTGTTCCGCGCACATGTACTGAAATCTTAAGATTGCAACAATTGTCAGAATTTCAGTGAAGCCAATAGTTACTTGAAAACTGAGCCCCAAAGGAATTGAATTCTAAAGTTTCTTATTCCAGACTAGCGTTTCTCAACCTAGGGGACTTTAAGATGGGTGGACCTCAACTCCCAGAATTTCCCCAACCAGCCATTTGAGGACCATCTATACCAGTGATGGCAAACCTTTTAGAGACTGAGTGCCCAAACTGCAACCCAAAACCCACTTATGCATCGTCGGGTGCCGGGTGGGTGTGGCCCATTGGGTGGGTGTGGCCCATTGGGTGGGTGTGGCTGCGGTGGTAACAGCAGACTGGGTGGAACTAAAAAGTTCAATCAATCAATTCCAACTTTGCAAGATCTTTTTTTTTCCCGTGAGAAGTTGAAATTGATTGAACCTCTTTTTTTTTGTACATGGCGGCGGAGGCCTAAAGCGAAAAGGTTTTATAAAACCCAGCTGAAGGCCTAGGACTGGAGCGACAGCGCGTGTGCCCACAGAGAGGGCTCTGAGTGCCGCCTCTGGCATCCGTGCCATAAGTTCGCCACCACTGTACTAAATTTCTCTCTTTCCCCCCCCAATATCATGGTGCAACATACTAAAAAATCTGTTTTGGAGCAGAAAGTACCGTATATAAAAAATTCCTACTTAGTACGGAACAAATATCTGTGTTGGTCAGTAATGAATGACTTGCATTAAGGTTAATCATACCTTAACATTTATCTCTAAAAAAAATATCTATAGCCAGTTGCCACTTCATCTCGTAAGAAGTGCCTATAATAAGTTGATCTCACGATAAATGCTTTGATTGTCCTTGTATCAAGGCAACGATTTAATCAAGTCCCTGTTGATACAAAAATACCCTGTCATTTCCTGTTCCATCTGCTTCGTAAAATCTTCCTTTCAGCAAAGATTTTTTTTAAGGAGCCCTTCAAAATATCTTTGGTTTTTTTTTTCCAAATGGAAAATATTTCATAAGACTACGAGCTGAAACCGTAACACGTTTTTACATCGTGCTGGTTTTGATTTCAAATGTCAGAATGAAATATCAGGAAATTACCTAACCAAAAGCAAGTGCTATGTACAGATTAAAGGAAAATATTGCTATGTTAGAAGGGATTACTAACATACTGAATATCCATTAAATTAAAGTCATATTTGGGATTTTGCAAGGTATTACAAATCACAGGGATTTTCTACGCTATGCGTTTAAGCTGCTCCACTCCAGTGCTTTAATCAAGTGGAAATGAAACCATCTTAAGACATTTCTTTCTGGATTTCATCTCTTTCCTCCCCTTTGGCAGTCTGAATGTCACTTTCTCTCAAAAGAAGCACTGTCAACAATTGGGGCCAAATTTTCTCTTGCCAAAACAAGGTGATTATTAAATGAGTTGTCCCAAAAGTGCTTTTTCATGAGGCAACTGGAGTTTCTTTTTTCTCTTTGAAGACGTTTCACTTCTCATCCAAGAAGCTTCTTCAGCTCTGACTGAAGAAACAGTCATAAGTCACTTTTTGCAATGCCATTGTAACTTTGAACAGTCACTAAATCAACGGTTGTAAGTCGAGGACTACCTATAAGCGTAATAGCAATATGTAAGGAGAAAAAAATATCAATACTCTTCTTTCAACAGGAATTTAAATAGGTAAGAACTTTTAGCTCCCGCATGACATAAATTAATTTTTGAGTGTTATAAAAATTTCAAAGCCTGGTAAAATATTGAAAGGTCCCCTCAAGGAATATCCTTTACAGCACTGAATATCTTTCTAAGTTGCTGGACTGCCTTAATACCATCTGGGAAGCATGATCAGTATTTTTTATTTCCACATTCAGTTGTTCAAACTGATTAGGTGTTTTTCAAAGATTTTATTCCTGGTGGCACATTTTAAGGAAGTTCACGTCTGAGGCTTCCTAAAGGAAAATAATTTTTTTGCCCCCAATAGAAGGTAAAGGTAATAGATAAGGATGCAAGCAATAAATTCACAAAGAGAGAAGCAACCTAGAACTAAGGAGAAGCTTCCTGACAATTAGAACAATTAACCAGTGGAACAACCTGCCTCCAGAAGCGGTGAATGCGCCAACACTGGAAGTTTTTAAGAAGAAACTGGACAGCCATTTGTCCGAAATGGTATAGGGTTTCCTGCCTGAGCAGGAGGTTGGACTAGATGACCTCCAAGGTCCCTTCCAACTTTATCACCATTATTATTATTATTATCTGCAGTTTAGCCTTTGCACTGGGAGCTCAGGAAGTTATTTGCTTACATCAGGGGTGTCAAACTCAATTTCACTGAGGGCCGCATCAGCATTGCGGTTGCCCTTGGGGGGCCGGGTGAGTGTGGCCAGGGTGAGTGTGGCCTACTGGGTGGGCGTGGATGGAGTGGGTGTGGCCAGCTCTACATCGTTCGCGTCAAGGGTGCCTGTGGGGGCCTGGGCAGGAGTGGGACAGATCTGAGGGTCTCTGGGAGAAGGGGGTGGGACCAGGGCAAGCGCCAAGGCATGGTCCATTTCTTCATTCCTCATAAAGGGTGACACCTCCCCACCATGCACCCAGGGGGCGGGACCAACGCAGCTGGGGCTGGTTCCTCGCTGTTTCTAGACGGCCTTGTGGAGCTAAGACTGAATGCGTTTCAGCATAGATGGCCACCACAAAATTGTACATTGGCTCCCAGCTGGCCTGGGCCAGGGCCAAGGCAGTGGGGGCCGTTCCCTCACTGTTTCCAGGATGGCTTTGCGGGCCACATGAAACCACTTCGCGGGCCGCATCCGGCCCCCGGGCCTTGTGTTTGACATGTCTGGCTTACATAATAGCTGTATGTTAAATAAGAGAAATAAAGATATGAACAGTCATTTTGTTTATTAATCACATGGCAGAAATTGAAATAGAAGAAACCGAAGAAGAATATCCTTTTTTACAGCAGCTGCTGCAAAATTCGTCGAATTCATCTGAGCCGCAAATAGCAGGATTTCCTGAGGAATTCTGGGAGCTGAAGTTCACACATCTTAAAATTGCTGAGGTTGAGAAACACTGCTCTAGAACAGTGTCCATAGAAGGCTAGGAATCCAGACGGCAACTGTGCTTTCTAGATTCCCAGCCAGAATAGCCAGGGATTGGGAAGGATGGGACTTGGAATCCAAGTTGTCCAATGAGATAGAAAGAGTGCTCAACATCTTTCTTTCGGCTTTGGCTGCTTCCAATCGATCCTAAATGTACTTTGTCTTGCCTTGCAGATGAGGTCACTCGCTCCTTAACTGCTGTGCCCAGCGGGGCTATCTCCGACGATGCCTTATTCAGGGACAAGTTAAAACACATGGGAAAATGTGAGTTATAGTATGGCATATTGCTGGATAGAAGCCAACGCTGTGAGGCATATTTCCTGCCATTGTCTCTCTATAGCAGGGGACTCCAGACTTGGCAGTCTTAAGATTTGTGCCCCAAAGATGCTTTAAAAAAGGCCACTGGACTTTCTTTTTCCTTGAAAACAAGAGGGAGTCAAGCTATTCTCCAAAGCGCCTGAAGGCAGGACAAGAAGCAATGGATGGAAACTAACCAAAGAGAGAAGCAACTTAGAACTAAGGAGAAACTTCCTGACAGTGAGAACAATTAACCGGTTGGAACAACCTGCCTTCAGAAGCGGTGAATGCTCCAACACTGGAAGTTTTTAAGAAGAGACTGGACAGCCATTTGTCCGAAATGGTATAGGGTTACCTTCCTGAGCAGGGGGTTGGACTTGATGACCTCCAAGGTCCCTTCCAACTATACTGCTCACAAAAATAAAGGGAACATTTTACCATGGAACTGAAAGGGTTTGAGTTCCCTTTATTTTTGTGAGCAGTATATTATTATTATTATTATTATTATTATTTCATTTCTCATTTAAGAAGATTCTTCAGTTCTCATTTCTCCTGGATGGGAAGCGAAACATTTTCAAGGAAAACAAAAAAAGAAGAAAGTCCAGTTGCCTTTTGAAAAAGCATCTTTGGGACAGCCAGGACCTGGATAATTGAGAATCTCCATAGACGTTTAAGACGCCCCATAGACATGCTGGCTGAGGGATTCTGGGAGTTGAAGTCCACAAGTCTTAAAGTTGCCAAGTTTGGAGACCCCTGCTCTATAGGATTGGAGGCCAGCTTTCTTGCGCCCCCAACGTGGCATCAAGCCGGCTGGAAATCCAAAGAAATTAAGTCCCAACAGTGTGGGACAGACAGGATAGCATGGTAGTGAAGGTGTGGGATTCGGAGCAAGGAAAACTTTAGTTTGTCTCCTGCTTCTACCCCACACAGGGAAAGCTCCCAGTAGGGAGGGAGGGAGGGCTGTGGGCTGGCTGTTTCTCTCAGCCCAGGGGACTATGATATGGGGAAGAGTTTGAGCCAAGAGTGGGAGAGTTTGTAGTCTCTCACAATCATGGAAGATGCTGAGACTATAGAAAGAGTACAGAGAAGAGCAACAAAGATGATTAGGGAACTGGAGGCTAAAGCATATAAGGAACGGTTGCTGGAATTGGGTCTGTCTAGTTTAACGAAGAGAAGGACGAGGGGGGACATGATAGCAGTGTTCCAATATCTCAGGGGCTGCCCCAAAGAAGAGGGAGTCAAGCTATTCTCCAAAGCGCCTGAAGGCAGGACAAGAAGCAACGGGTGGAAACTAACCAAGGAGAGAAGCAACCTAGAACTAAGGAGAAACTTCCTGACAGTTAGAACAATTAA